CTTTGGCTTTTCCGCATCAATTACATCTGTAAGACTACCATAATATACCATAATTTCCAATTCAAGGTTGTTTTATAATATCGTAATTATAGTCGTTAATTAAAAAGCTCGAAGTTTCGATAAAACATTTTTGTGGAAAATTTTAAAAGAATAAGTAATTTAATTAACTCAAAATAAATACGTTATCGAAGAATTACACGGGAAATTGCCTCAAATAAACCGATAAACCACCAAAAAAATAAATTGCCACCCTTCCTGCAGCAAAAATTGAACCGGTGAAATATCGACATTTTTCGCCGGATGCAGCAGGATTTAACATCGGGAGCTCGACCGATAATCCCTTCGGAGCCCGGAATACCACTTGGGGCTAGGAACCTTTTGTCTCCGCCGGCACGGTGGGATTCCATCCAACGACGGAAAAGCCTCTTAGAAACAGGGGGTTGGGGATCGGTTGACGTAGGTATTCCAGAGGTGAAATTAATTATTCATAGGAGGTATCCCAAAGGAAACAGTTTGGTTGCTAGATGCGACCTGAGCATTCCCTTGGATCGAATGCACGAGTTCCGAATCCGGGGTATACAGAGAGAGAAGGAAAACGGGTTGCATGGGATTACTCGGGGCATGGCGTTCTAAAGCCGCCTTCAACCATCCACCCCTACACAAAGCAATTACGGTATTGTTATGGTCGATAGGGTCATTAAACAACAATTGCTATATTATGATGTATTTGAGAAAACAATAAGAAGAGTAATTTTGGATATATTGTCGATTCAAAAAGTTAAATTAACCCATTAAGGATCAGTTAGATAGAAATAATTGAAAAAATTCTAATTTTTTTTTAGAAACAATCTTTAAAATATAAAGTGCAACATAATACATTTTGGTAGATTTCTTGAACGTTGCGTTAACGCAACATTGGGACCAACTCCATAGTAAATGGAAATTTACATTTGATGCACATAAAGACTATCGTGCTTTGATATACCTGCAGCGTCGTCTCCACTTTTCATTGTTTTTTGAATTATGTATAACATATTATAGTTAAAAAAATTGTGGAACTATGTCCTTTGGTGTATCTTAACTGTTGTTGACACTAATAAGACTTCCTGCAAGTTCCCATCTAAAATCCAACTGAGAAATTGGTTTGTCATTATATTGTTTGCCTGTGCATTTTCAAGCATTTACTATGGCGGAATCTAACATATTTATAAATGGCAACCACCATTTTTTCTCTGGTAATAGTATTTCAAATGTTCCGACAATATCAAATGACAAATATGATATAATCCACCGATAGTTTCTTTTAAATATCTTACTCATTGGTCAAATTGTTAACTTCGTGTGAAACATAACCAATATCAATTACTTCGTTGAGATCAAGACCTTCAAAAATTGCTTCAAGTTCTTTCAGCTTTAAAGACCTTTTGAGATTATATTGATATATGACCCTACTTTAAAGTCGCAAATATACCCTGACGCATATACAGTAAATGCCGCTTTATTGGACCACTGGATAAACGGACCAGTCGTTTATATGGACCAAATTGCCAAAAACAAAATTAATTACTCTTATAAGTTTATCCACTTAATCGGTCCAACATTCCGCTTAATCGGACCGCACGATTTTGCATGTCCCCATCATTCTGTTAGTGAACGAACAAGTTTATACGTGTTAGTGTGCACGAGTAGTTGGAAAATGCTGTCAGTATGGTTACTTTAAGTCGATCGCACATCAGTAGAATCTTTTTAAAGAGTAAAAGGAAGTGTATGGAAAAAATGCCTCGCCGAGACCTAACATTAGCACAAAAAATTTCTATTTTTATTAAATAAAATTAAAAATCAACCGCCTAATATCAGCCAACGAGAGTTAGCCCAGATAATTAAAGTGCCAAAAACAACTCTTTTACGGTTGATGAAGGAAAGAAATAAGATTGCTGATGAATGGGGAAATGCAAATAAAAATTCCTCGCGAAAATGAAAGCAAAAATTCTAGCTAAAACTAGACGAAGCGCTTAACCGATGGTTCGTAACGGTTACTAGTCGAGGTGTCAAAGTGAGTACCATACTAAAAAAAAGCAGACAATTTTGCTAAAAGGCTACCAGAAGCGGCAGAAAATGGAAAGAAGATTTACCAAACATCTTAAGGTCTTGTGTTCAAACGTACAATTTTGGCTGGTCATAAAAAACCGTAAGACCGAGTAACAGTGTTATGTTGTTCCAACATGTCCAGTACTGATAAAAGGGAAATTATTAGTAATTGGTAAAGCAGCAAAGCCGCGTTGCTTTAAAGAATTAAGGATAGATTCGTTACCTATGCAATACGAATGCAACCGAAATGCATGGATGACAGCGTAGATTTTTAAGTGTTACCTAGAAACTTGGGATAAAGAATTGACGAAAACATCAAAAAAAAACATTTTAATGGTCGATAATTGCGCAGCACACCCTCCAGTGAATGATCTACAAAACAAGAATTCATTTTTTACCACCTAATACGACGGCAATAACACAGCTCTTGGATATGACAAGAGAACAACAAAGTACATAATCGACAAGATAGAGGAAAACATATTATCGTTGTCCTCAACCGTAACAGAAGTAAGCGCAAAAGTCTTCATTTTATAGCTGACACTTGGAATGAAGTCAAGAGCAATACAATACGTAACTGGTTTGGCGATTGCGGATTTAAATTGTATTCTGACAATAACGCTGACACTCGATAAAGTGATAGAATTGCTGACAGTGACGATCTTGGAAATTTACATAAAATTGAAAAGAGTTTATTAATATTGACGATACGCTGGAATGTGTCAATCAGTAATTATGAAGACGAGATTATTAGAGAATTCGCAGATAAGTCAGTTGTAGAAGTCGTTGAACAAACAGACGAGGAGACAGATGATATGGAACTCCATCCAGTCACTCATTAAGAGGCAAGATATTATGTCAGTAAATTGCGGTGGTAGTCCTGTAAGATGGCTGTCAGGAAAGTCCTATTGCCGCGCTAAAGTTATGCCAACACTTTATTTACAAAAATGCTTCAAAATCTATTCGTCAAACAACTCTAGACGAATATAGAAAATTAGACCAATAACATTTTAGCAATAATGTTTCTTGTTTTATTAATTTTGTTTCTTAATTCTACGTATTTTATTATTGTGCAAAAGAATGTTACCTTCGTTTATATTCTAATAAATAAAGTTGTTATTGTCAGAGTATTCAACTGGTAATACTAATTTAATTACTTATCAATTTCTGCACTTATTTAGTTATTTATAATTTAATGTAAATCCAACATTTTGCGTATAGTATGTATAAAAGCGCCTTATTCGGACCAAATCGCGTTCGAACAGATATGGTCCGTTTAAGCGGAATCTACTGTATATTTACACCACTATAAAATTGTACATACCATTATAAAATGTTCTTGAGTCACAATATTGTGATGTACTCACTTTTCCACACTTATTACAAAAGTTATAATATTATACGTATATAGTGAACTTTGGAAAGATCAAAAAGGTATCAAAAATTATATTTGCGTAAACAATCTTTTTCTTCTCTATTTCTAAATTCAATAAAATATGTATTTAAATGCTTTATTTATTACTAGCAATAATATTCTCAATTTTGTCGTTATTTGGGGCGTAAATGAAACCTGGCTCGTCGAATAAACATAATTAAAATACATATTATATTCTTTCTATTATAGATAGTAATTTTTAATTTTTATTTAATTAATAAACGACGCTGAATGCCACCCTACCCAACTATTTGCAGTCACAAAAACAACTTCAAACAGGTTTACGAACGCAATTCATATGTATATCTACCGTTCCAATGTTGCGTTATCGCAACGTTCAACTTCAAAGTCACTTGGAAGCTAGATTTTGAAAAATAATTAGCTATTTCTTCACATTCTTGTTCTGTGAAGTATGCTGTATATGAAAAACATTCAGGATTAAAAAAAAATTATAATGAGAGTTCCTTTTTACAGTGTTTTTAAATTTATATTACCATGCTAAAAATTTCACCATTTTTCTTAATTTATATTTACGCTTAAAAGTTGAATTCTCTATGATAAAAAATTGCAGAGGTGTGCTTAAATCCTTCTTAAACAAATAGTGTTTTTCTGATCAAAAATGAATGCTTTTAAATATTAAAAAAAAATTTTTGCGAACGTTGCGTTAACGCAACTATGATCCTAAATGGGTTAAAGAATCCCATTTCATCTCATTTTTAATCGTAAATGGAATTCAGAACTTATGACAGAAAAATTAGATGTTGACGGATAAAATTGGAAATAGGAAAAACTAATTCCCGGTTTTCCTCGAGACTTGGTTAGTTAACGTCGAATGCAGCAAGAAACTCGAAGCGAGAACGGGCGACAACAACCGGGTTTGCCTTGTTTAAATACTTGATTATGCAAATATTAGCATCGTCGCGTCGGTCGTTTCTGAAAATTTTCGTTACATCAAGTTTCCTTTATCAGAGGCAATTTCTTATCCGGGATCTTTCACACTTTATCTGTTTACCATATCTTATATTTAGTATAGTATTCCATATAAAGATGTTTTATGTTAATAAAAAACAAATACCATTTATTTGCAACATTATTAACAATATTTATTTGCTACTTTTGTAAAAAATATAAAGTTCCAATATATATATATCATAATGACTAAGCTCGTTTGCCTAAAGATTAATCATCGATTTGTCAAGCACTCGTTCATTATTTTAAATTTAAACTCCCCAAAGTTTGAGAGGGGAGGTAACACGAAGGTAGAGAGATCCCTATGGAAAACAGGATTAGCAAATCCCAAAAGGCGTATGGTGAAGCCATAGCGTAGCACCACATTAGTCCCTGGCTTAGTAAGTAAATCGAAGCCAGGCGTGGCGTTGCCAAGAGTTACAACGAGCTTTCTAGGAAATTCGAAACCGTAATATCTAGGTGCCTGTTTTAATTCGCATACGTTATTAATATTTATTTATGTACTTACTCTCATCGCTTTGCGGGGCGGACAAAATGGCACTATGTTTTTTCTTGACCTCCTCAACATTCGCCTGAATTTTATCTATCATATCACGTATCTCTTCCACCTAGAAAAAGAATAAAGATCATTTTTACTTTTTGATTAACTCTCAATTAAATAAAATATATTTCGAATTTGCCGTTTTTTAGTTGATTCCCTTTAATCTAAATTTGCATGGTTGTTAATGGTAATATTTTGTTAAATATCAAATATTTAATTCGGAAATAAATACGTCTATTTGCTTTGATGGGGGAATACAGAACGAATCATAGAATGAATATTATTTTAAAAATAAATATTAGTTTTCTTGGAAACAGTTAAAAATATAATTTTAAAAAACAATTTGATTTTTTTAATAATACTAATTTCTACACACGTGTCCCATTCAACCGTATAATACTCTAATCCGGAAGATACGGGACACCTGTATAGGGGTTACTATATCGCGACAGTTATATTTAAAGTTTTCGATCAAATCTATTTTAAATTAAAATGATGAATAGTACTGAAAGTTAACTTAATAATATTCATGATCTTTCTTTTATCAAAACAGCCTTGCAATTGCAACATTACATGACAGTTTCAGGAAAAAAAAACAGAATGTAAAACCAATAATATATTAACCAGTGCATTATTATGGTGAATAACGCAACCATTTCGATGGTAACTTCAAGATGGTGGGTATCCATTTATAACCACATTTTTGCGACTAATTTTTAGATAAAGCATGTTGATTTTCCTAAGAAATAAAAATCTGCTAAAACCATTTCAATTTCTAAATCATTAATTGCTTCGTTTTCTCAAACATGAGATCACTCCATCAACCAACTATTCTGAATTGCTTCAGCATTAAATTAAGAGGTTTGAGTTACATAAAATATATTGCCCTGTTTATTTCTATTTACTTTGTGTTTTGTAGCTGTAGTGTCTGGTTGAAAAAGAATCTGGGCGGAGCACCAGTCCAAACTATTATCAAAAATTACAATGAGGCTGATTCCTTTGGTAGCAAAGTGCGTACAAGCCGGCTAATGAAACTATCTACAAGAGATGTTAGATCCATATTAAAAGAAGTGAACCAAAACCCTAGAATTAGCACACCAACATTAGCAGGCCACATCACGCTTAAGTCTAAAAAGTCTGTACATGCAAGAACCATTCAATGATTTTGTTTACTAACGAATAGAAGTACAACATTTGATAGTCGAGCAAAAATTTGGTGAAAATATTGTCAAACATTGGTTGCTATCTTCTGGACCAAGGTAACTCTACACACTACCTCAAAGCAGTATTTGTCGTTGTTAGTAGATATGACGTATACAACAGATATATTACTGTGCATGGGGAATTAATTGGAATTCACTACCTTGTTTCTTAAAAATGTGTCCGACTGTCAAATATGATTTCAGCAGTTGATAATGTGAATAGGAAAGGAACCTCTTTTGTTTTATTTGCAAGCTTTTGTGCCACACCCTCCCTATCAAAGGCATGAGATGTATAGAGAAAACCTGCAGAACAATACCTTATAGCATTTATATCCTTATTAATTTGGTTAGTCAGCGAATTTCGCTCTATTGTTGCGTGTTTGTCGTGAAAGCTAAATTGAATATATCCAGCATTATTTCCCAGCTTTTCGAAGACTTTGGAGAGCATAGGTAACATGTTTATAGGTCTTTCTATTTATTTGTTTAATTATGACCTGTTTTATTTCATTAATTATGAATTTGCAATGTGGCGGTTTCATAGGCAGCGTCGCATCTAAGGAACTATTTATGGCAGTTTCATCCTCCGTAGATGCACATACGGAAAAGGATTAAATACGCTCTCTAGATGTATTGAGAAGGCCTCGACTTTTTCTTTGTCATATTTAGTATATTTTGCAGAAATTATTGTCACTTTTAACTGGGGGATGTGTCGTTTTAGTCTTCTGGTGGCTTTGTATGTAAAACCATAACAATGTATTAATATTCCCCACGTACAAAGAAAAAAAAATCTTTGTTAAATTTATTTCGAAAATTAAAATGAGCGTTTCATTACACCACTTCCATCAATACTTCACATTTTTACTCGCGCTACCCTCAACGCTTGACCTACTTCCGAGGGCGATTCTCTCTCTCTACACGACCTCCACCCACCAACAAGCTATAACAGCATCTTCCATCTATCACACAGCAACACATTTTTGAATAATCAGAACATTTTAAACATTTTTGGAATTAAAAATTGATAATTATTTTTACGAATACTTTATTTACTTATTGAGTACTGAAAACAAATATTTTGAGTAGGGATTTGAAACAATTTGAGGAACGTAATTCTACGAAGATCAAGACGAAGCGACAGACGGCTCCTACGATATTAGCGTGTTAATTAAGTTTATGTAAATTTCCGGCCGGAATGCAATTTTAGCTTAATATAGCCGAGCAGGTGGTCCCGATTTAATAGGGTTGCTGGGAACCTGATCACAATACGACCTCGACCTGTAATTTTATTATGGTGTCAATCTTTACTCGGTGCATATAGAAAACCGGCGCCGCCACCAAAATTGCTAACATAAATCACTAGATTTAAAATGTTTTACTTAAATAAAAGCTGCGTCAACAAAACTTTAAATCAAATTAACGATTATTTATTAAGCGTTTAAATAATCTCCGTAACACGGAAATTAATTTTTGTAAAAGTTACAACACAATAAAATATACCAAGGTCAAGGCCACAAACACGGCATTAATGCAATATAATTTCCAGGAAAAATGGGGAGCAAGAAAGGCAACGTAGTTAAAAGAGCGTAACGACTACAACTCTAATTAAATATTTTACATAATTTGTATTAAGAATTGAATGAAAAATGTTTAGAGCTAGAGAAAAAGTTATTTAACAAAATTAGAGATTCAACGACTGATATTAAGCCATAACACGGTTTTTTAATGCAATAAAAATGAAATTACATCTAAGAACGTTATTGTCTGTGAACCTTACTAGCGAATTTTAAACCATGATCTTTATGAAAAAGATGATTAGATACGAACATTCTGAGACAGACCACGATTATTTTTAAAATGATCGGTAAGATAACAAGTTGATATGTTGTAAATTATTCAATGAGGCTGGGGATTTAAACTTAGATAGTGGAGTTACAAAGGTCACCTTCTAGAGATCACTGCTGGAAATGATAATAATCAATACTGATTACATTGGGGTGGAACGTGCTCCACGTCCTCTTCAACTTTTAATCTACGACTGCTTGGATAAGTCATCATTACCACACTCATTTGAGTTGCGTAATGAAGTTCATTACCGCACTAGTTTCATTACGTAACGCATTTTTAACCCAAGCAGAACAGACTTAATTTATTGAAACGAGCAACAAAACAAAAGAAAAAGTGCTACCTATTTAAAGAGAAACAATACTATTTATTATAAACATTAATTGTTATGTTTTTACATTTCGCAACACTTATTCCAGATGAGTAAACATGTTATTGAAAATGACATTAATTCAAAATTGTCAACAATCATTTCAAAATATTTTTATAAATGTCAAAATAGACCTTTTTAAGGAAATTGATTTTTAAGTAATTTTTAGCAGTCGTAGATAAAATGTTGTATATATCACACGTGGGCTAGAGCATAATTACAGTACTCGTGTGATTACAATTCTCCACACTCGTAGAGTAATTATGTTTTTACTCCACTTGTAATATAAATAACTTATCTATCCAATCCATTTGGTGTGCGCATTTTACAACAACTTTTTCTGGGAGGTTTCATCGGATGAAATTTTTCTTTTCATTCCTTATAATCTAATAATAGTTGGGGTGGATGAAATCCCGACGGTATCTGCAGCGATTACATATTTTTATGATTTTTGAAAAAAAGATAAATGGGCCTATTTGCTATTTAATGACCCTCACCATAAAATTTGTTAAATATTAGTGAAAACCGCATCTCGATATCTCCATCCGTTCTCGAATTATAGAAGAAAACGTTAAAAACTGGAAAGCCATCAATATTATCCAGTTACCTCATCGAGAAAAACAAATCACATAACCATGGTAACTGTAAACATGTCATTTCCTAACGCAGAAGCGTACGATATGTTCGGGATTTATTTACAATCTGGGAATCCCGAAAACACTGCTCCACAAGATTCCTCAAGAGAATAACATGCATCTCCACCACATTGTTTTACATCAGGCCTTAACAGATACCGATACGGACGTATGAAGATCTTTGAATAATGCAGCTAGTGTACACTTGCATAATATGCATTATTGGTTCGAGCAAAACCGACATTGCTTCCAGCCCTTTTACATTTTTATCTATGGGGTAAACTAAAAGACCTAACTTTTCAAGAAAAATCAATAACCAGAGAAAATATGACAAAACACTAAATGCCATTAGAAACGTGTCCAGGGCTGACACTTTTTTTTTCGTCGAAACTAGATTAGCATTTCGAACATTTGTGATTTATTTTTGGTTTATGTTGTTTTATTATCATTGGCGATGTATCATTGATCGTTGGCCTTTAAACACACCTCAAAACTATACCATTTCAAGTTCAAATTGGCACTAATCAAACTTAAAATGGCATTAAACAAAATCAATTTGGCGACTGTCATAATCAAATTGGTATGAATCAAAATAAAAATGACATTATCAATTACAAATTGTCACGGTTAACAAACTGTCTACAAAATGCCTTATATTAAGAAAAGGGAAGCAGCAAACGTAAAACGCCAAAAAGGAAGTTGTTGTACTTTCATTGCTGCTGGTAGCCGGGGAACAAATGTACAGGGTGTCCAAATTTCGATGGGTTTGCAGGGTATCTCAGTTATTATGAAAGATAGAAAGTTGTGGCTTTCGCGAACCTGAGCTACTCTTTTGTGGCGCAAACCAAATTTTCATAGCCCTCTTCGTTTTTGATATACAGGGAGTGTTTGAAATTTACGATTTTCAGACTGTAGACTTGCTGTAACTCGGCTATCCCGAAAACTTAGTAAGAAAGTAAAAACGTGTTCTAACAGATTTTTTCACGTGGAACCCAATGGTGCACGTAGAATTTTTCTA